CAAAATAGCCTTTATTCGCTGTTGATAGGAAACTCTGACTGTGATGAATTTCGTGTCTAGAGAAGAATGCTACATAAACTGATACAAATTGGAAGGTAAATACGTTTAGGGTAGGTATAATGGGTTTATTACTTTACATAAAGTTTTTGTTTGGAATCCTCCTTTCCGGTTAAGAAATTGCAATAGCTAACAATAGGTAAAGGATATTACGATTTTTTTTATTAAAAACTGCTTTAAATTTAATTATTTTTCAACATCAGTCTATATCTATATTTGTAGTTACCTGTATTTGTAATTAATTTTACTGGTCTAAAATATAGTCAAATAAATGGTCAGTAGTTCATATTAGACGAAGTTGAAATTTACGAATTTACTAAACGAAAGTGGTAGATTTAGGTCAAATATTATATTTTGAATTACAATGATTAAAATGTATGTATAAATTATACATATATGTATGCAGTGATCCTCCAATAATAAAACTGTCTCAGAATGTGAATAAGACACGTTCACGCTTCTACAATTCTTAAATTATGCCATTTCTGTTAACCGAACTGACAAATGAAAGTCAGGATGTGTGAATAATTTTATATTTGTCTACACATTATTTTTACGCCTTTTGAATAAAAAAATTACGTATGTATAATTTATACGTAGAAATAATTTATAGATATTTACTGAGATAGATTTTGTACGAAGTTATTTGCATGGTACCATTGTGTTATCTTTTTGAGCCGGTATATAACATAGTAACTAAGTCTTTCTGAATGGCAATTTAAGAGTGAGAACCACAAACACCATCAGGATTAAGCATGGGACTAGATGACAGTCAGTATTCAGCTTTGATGAAGTCCAGAATGTTCGTTTCCAACCAACCTAGGGTGGATCGTGCTTTATGACCATTGACTGAGACTTGCTGAAAGAACCATTCTTGATTATGGAACATGGTGTTGATAAGAGGCTTAACCTATAAGGCCTTCCTTAGAATGGCATCTAGATACACTTGTGCCGAACATTCCTACCACCCCGCTAAACCATCACTGAAGCGGGATAGTGTCAACGTTGTACTTTGTTGACTAATTCCGAAATTGTTTCTTTAGAGCTTTGAGCATAAAGACTCAATGTCAATCTCAACTCTGCTTGTTAAAATATTGTCCAAAAGAACAAAAATTCTCGCTCTTAGAAATATTTTTCTGTGACCTCCATTTGCGTACCGTTTAGGTAGTTGTTTTGCTACCATCCTATTCTTTTTTAAATTATCAGTTAAATAAGCAGTACATCATCTCTCATTATAGACTGCAAGTCCTAAGTCATCTATTAAAATTCACGACATGGTTGTAAGCCTCTCTCTCTTCGTCTCGCGAAATATAATATTTTGCTTTCTGACAGGATTTATTTGAATACTTTGCCTTACTGCATTGATTGCCATTTTCGTACGAACATTGCGAGGCCGAGGAGTGCAAACAGAGGACGTTTCATTGTACCTATCACTAACCCTGTACACAAACATTGAACTAATACTAAGCTGATGATGAGTTTCAAAAATTGTATTTGGCTCCATACCTGCTTTATGTAATGCAATCGATTCGATTTTAATATCACAAAAATATTTGACAACCGCCTGGCACGAAATACAATGAACATTTATAAATGTCAGATTCCAAATTCAAAAGTAATATTTAATTGTAACAGTATTTACGGTCAGACTATTATACATAAACAGTACTGTAAGGATATATTTGAGCCACAGTTAGATCTAAGATTAGAATATACGATACATTATAGCCCAATACACGTATACAGTGGGTAAATCTAGTAATGAATAAGTTCACGAATTAATGAAAAATTTTCATTAAGAGATGCATTTTCATTTCTAAACTTTCAGTATTTTCTTTCTTCGATTGAAAGTGGGCGTTCTATTTTTGTTACGAAGGTCAAAGTCTCAGTGTAAAGTATTAATGACTTGTTTCTTACTAGTGAGTGAGTTCGTGATGCTTATTATATTATTCATGAGTTCGTGATTCAATTTTTGATTACCTGTATGGCGAAATGAAATAGGAAGATGTCTCTAGACACAGTCACATACGTGCCTTGACATTTTTACAATTTTTTTTATAGACTGCAGCGTTTAGCATTAAAATACAAAATAGTATGCCACTGACATCAATTCTCTAAAGATTGATGATATATTTTAAAAGAAATATAGAGTAGCTAAAATACACATCGAAATTTCTTCTAAAGCAATTAGATACTGATGGCCCATCTAATGAAAAAGTTCATTAGATGGACCATATAGTTGTTGGCCATCATCGTAGTATAAATAAAAACCTAAGTAACGACCTCGGTGGTCTAGCGGTCTAGCACACCGGTTTACGTCCAATGGTCGCGGGTTCGATTCCTCGCACGGCACAAATATTTGTATCCATGAGTATGATTGTTTGTATTAGTCTGGAAATTTTCTATGTATAATATGTATTTATTTACCAAAAAAAATATCTATGTATTTGTATCAGTTATCGTTAATACCCATATATTAGTTAGTACCCATAACACAAGCTATAGCCAGCTTAACTTGGGTCTAGATTGCGCCGTGTGAATTGTCCTGAGATTATTATTATTAATAAATGACTGACTTGTAAATATTGCGAATTATAACGAATGGAAATAGAATGACTTCATCGTATAGGTATTGCAAGATTATTATAAAATAAAACTCTTCTTTTGCACCGGAGGTTACAAAAGACATTTATTCAGTATTCTTCCTTGCTTTATAAAACAAAGTCGCTGTCGCTGTCTATCCGTCCCTATGTATGCTTAAATCTTTAAAAATACGCAACGGATTTTGAAGCGGATTTTTTTAATAGAGTGCTTCAAGAGGAAGGTTCATATGTATAATACATGCGTTCGTCCCGGCTTCACCCGGGCGAAGCCGGGGCGAACGCATGTATTTAATAATTTGTAATTGGGGCCTTCGCCAAATCAATGAGAGAAACAAAAATTTACTAAAGCTTTTGGTAACAAATTCTGAGTACTATAATTTACAAACAAACTGACGGATCAACTTATAAATTTCCAAAGAAATGGCAATAGAAATGAATAGTGCATTTAACAGGAATATAGTTTTATGTAAGGTTTACAATTCTTTTATGTAAACATTGTACCACTCTAGCAGTAACTCTTATCCTCTATTGATTTATATAATTTATATTTATTGTTATTTATTTCTTTTGATCTTTTTCATTTCGTGAGGTATTTCTGACAATTGTCAATATCAATTTGAAATAAAAGTCTCTTTAAAAAATACTACAGCTCATATAATCCAAGTTACACTTTCATTTCATTAACAATGATCACAAAAGTTTCATCTCTTCCGTTACGCACCGCATAGAACATTCCGTTGGCATACAACTTAAAATTTCATTATACAATTGAACGTAATTATTTAAAAATAATTTACTGGAACCATATTTCATTAAATTACTTATTTACATTAAAATTCACAAATACAACTGTTATTTACATTATTTTATAAGTACACAATGTCTTAGTGATTCGCGTCTATTATATTTACAAATTCTACATTTTTATCAATCTTAAACAACATTTGGTCAATTCTTATTACAAATAAATAGATCAATTTGAAATTTTGCTAAAAATACGAGATTATTTATATTCGCAAAAGTATTACAAAAGACGTAGGTATTTTTCATCGTAAAATGTTATACATTATTGACAACGATGTTAAGTAGTATGATTTGAAGTATAATATAGGATAAAATACTTTTGCAAATAAGCATCACCATAATTATTATATAGATAATAATAAACTATAAAGCGATTATAAATAATGACCAGATCATTATAAATCTCATCATGTTGGGGACGTTTATTTAGGCTAATGTAAGTTAACTTTAGTTATTTTGATACGACATACCACTATATGCGATAAAAACACATTGTGCGTTCAGGATATTATACCTACTACAACTTTTGGGGTGCAAATATAATATTTTAATAGTTTTTTCAATATATGAAATAAAGGTACCGATAAATCAAGTAGGTTTTAATTACTTATGTATATATTGCTAGTAAGGCTTTGAAGAAAATTATTGCAAAACACACAAAAAATATTGCTCTTCTAGTAAAACAATCCCTATTTTTTTTTAATAATTGTTATAAAGGTAAAGTAAGTAGTCATTTTAATTTTTTCTGTAATACGAGTTTTTTTAACAGGAATTAAATATAATCCCACTTGAGTGAGTATACGATCTTTGTTTCTGTAATTACTGATGTGAATGTTTTGTGCTAAAATGGGTGGACCATGGAAAGCCATTCTCCTAGCTATGATTGCCTTATCTTTTAACAATACCAATTATTAAATAAGGCGATGGACCACTGAACATCATTTTTCTTATAAGTATAATTATTAGGCGAATTTTCAATAATTGGCCTTACGAAAAGCATGACCTTCTGAGGTCAACCCACTTTAATGGTATGTGGTTTGCAATGATTTTACTAAAACCTTATAAATTATTATTATAACCTATGGAAACAATATTAAAAGTGGCAGTTATCGCTATAGGTATTATTCTATTGACAAAAGTGTATCTATGATGTGTATAAATATCGAGGTAGAAATACTAGGGAGTAGAAACTTTAAAACACTGTTAGGAAATATTATTAATTAATAAATAGGAAAGTTTAAGAGGGTAAAGGTTTTTTATTTCATAAATATAATGAAGATATAACATTACACTATCGATCGTATGTCTAATATACGCTAGTTGGTGTTTTGAATACGAACGATTAAATTATAGGAGTAAAATACATTACCTTACCTAGTGTTCTATTCTAATACGAAAAGAGAAATAAAAAATTGTGGATTACGATAAAATATACAAATTAAAAAGAAACTGAATAGTATCTATCTCTTAACTTTGATTGTTATAATAAAATTTACAAGCATTTTTTTTTAATGAACCGTAACTAATAAATTAAGGTGATCCTATTTAAATTATAAATATGAAGACGACAGGTCTTTCGTACCTAACTTGATATTTTTTAATATAAACATATTTTTCTTGCAATTATCATGCCTTTGATTAATTTCGTGCATGTTTGTCCTTCCATATAATTGCAACAACGTCTATCAAATAGGAATAGAATAAAATAACACATCCAATGACACATAATTATTAGCATGATCTCGATTTAATTTAGTTTATTACAATAATTTTAAGTACTTTATGTAGTTTTTTAATGTAGGGATATTTGTTATCATTAAAGCAATAAAAGATTTTATTTAAACTATGCACATTATTTCGGTTTTAAATATTGATAATGTCTTCGCGGATTACAAATTATAGCCATTTATGAAACGGCTGCGTCTTCATATTCATATTGTTCATTATATTTAGGAAGGCGACTGGTGCTTTATTCTGGGCCAAGTACAAAAGATGTCATAATGCCCATACGTACATTCTGCATTATAATAACTAGATAATTATCATCTAATTATCGCAGATTAACACAGTGCAGTAGAAACCTCAACGAGTTCATCCACAATAAATAAAAGACACAATTAAAATAAAAATATACAAATAAATTGATCCCATCATACGTTCCCGTACAACTACAAAATTCAGATATTTACTAAATATTATGCTCTCAAATTTTATTTTAACTATTTACATTTTCATAAGTTATTAGGATAATAAAACTGAATTATCGAAATTTTTCGTAGTGTTTTAGGCACTATTTAGACAGCCATCAATCTTATGTCTTATACAAAGCTTTACTTAGTCTAGTCTTATAAAATGTTTACATCTACATGTCAATAGGCAGGTAGTAACAATTTAATTATTATCTATATTCTAAACAAAGTGTATACATATTCATACAATGTGTGTCATAAAATCAAATCCTAATTCTTCATATATACTTTCACCAATTTTGTATGGTAATCAAAATTCACTAAGATGTAGCGTTATTGGTTCAATTTGTAAACATAATATTTTCAGGTATGTAATCTATATAGTTCGTATAGATCGATGTAACCTTTTGAATAATATTTCGATATCACTAACAACGTTAGAAATTATCAGATGGTTTCGTTTTATAAAAGGTGGACTTATTATTGTAATAAATGCATTTGGTGTTTGCGACTTTATTCAGTTACTTGGTAATAAATTTACTTCTAAGAAAAAAACTATTTCAAATTTCTAGAAACTATATAGTTTTGTTCGAACTATGTTCTATTTCTGTAACATCACGAAATCTATGAAAAAAAGGATTTATATAACGAAATTGTCTTACTTTTGTATAGATAACTAAGCAACAGAATAACTGGTAAATTTATTTATTTTGAATAAACATTAGTAAAACCACACGAAGTTTATATAAAACAGTGTACCTATTGGTTCCTTGAATTTCAGATAAAACGTGATCAGACGTGTTATGCTCATCTAACTACACTAATGCTGATAATGTATTCAAAATATGATCTAACGAATTACCTAAAGCATCTATCAATAAAGCATTTTGTATAATCACAACAGCAAGTCCATTCCGCCGCATTTCATTCACTATCTAAACAATATCACTAGAGAACAGTCTGGCACATCCGAAACTGGGGAACAGCGAAGAAAACTACGGCTGACCTTGTCTCGCTCCGCGGCGTGGTCCTTCGGCATATCGGAAAAATCATTTCACTTTCCTCATTCACTCTAACAACTTTCGTAACTAAAAATTGTTGGCATCGTTTGATAAAGATACCAGAACCGCTCGATATCAAATAATTTAATAGAAACAAATATATTTATTGCATGGAATATTTGGAATTTATCGATCATTGAATAATCGTTTAGAGCGGTTCTAATATCGGTCAGCTAATTATTAGTAAATTCGATAGTAACTTAGTATTAATCATTCGAGAGATTTGCATCTGCTTTATAGTGAAATAATTTTACCGGCAGCCTAATTGGGGCGTAGTCGTGATAAAGGGGGGGTCAGAGGACGGGCGCCGAGTTTCGTCGAGTTCAGCACAGGAGTTCGGAGTTGGAAGGCGGTACTCAGCTAGGTAGAGGAGGCCGAGACGCGTGAGGAGCTGGGCTAGATGGCTGTGGCTGTGCTGTTGACGGCGTATGCACTGTTGTACTTTCGGGAGCCGAATGTGTCCGCGTAGCTGATTGGAGTACCGGACTTGGTGGCCAAGGATGTGATGACGATGCCATCGTTCTGAAATTAAATTGCATAGTATTGTCACATTGAAGTAATTAAAAATTCATATCTAGACACGCGGAAGCGTGTCAAGCCGAGTTTCAAGTAAACTGGCCTGCAGCACCGTGTGTATATTTACACGAACCATTTGGAGCCACTTTTGACCCCCTCATAACTCAAAAACTCTTTCACACAAACCTGTCAAATTTGGTTCATATATTGAGACTTGCGAGATAAATATGTGTTCCAAATTTCATAAACATATCTCAAACGGTTATTTAGATATTAATGTCCAAAAATCGTCATTTTTATCACTGATCAACTATAGATCAAAATTATAACCCACTTCCAGATGACCTAGGAAGTTCAAATTTGGTATGCAGATAGGTAATTAGGTGAATATAAAGGAAAAAATCTGAAACTGGTAAATTGTTATCATTTTACTACAATTTTTCACTTTAATTGATTCTATTTCAACTTATACTGGACGAATACTAAAATTCTATGAAAACGTCGATAGCCACCAATTGACATTGATCCCTGGCGAAATATCTCATCTTGTACTGGACGGAAACTAATATTGTATGAAAACTTCGATCATTACCAATTTACGTTGACCCCTTCACATCAGTGTCGATAACTAGCAAACTTCAAATATTGCATTGAGCAGTAAACACTAGTTGCTATAATTTAGATTCTGTCTAAAATATACTCGTACTTATAACTAGGAGTATAGTCGAATTTCGTATTTATTATGTTATTAACTGAGATTTGGTATTAATTATTGTTTCAATATTTAGCGCACATCGATAGTGTAAAATCATTATTTTTATAAATAATTATTAAATAATAGGCATTTCGGTATAGGGCGCCGCGGCGGCGCCGTGTGGGAGCGGTGCGATAAAACTCAATGTTTTGTTTCTCGATATCTAACCTATAAGGTTGCGATTTATGCTATGCTTATAGCTTTCTTAAATTATACTTATATGTTTGTGGTTATATTATTATTACATTATTTTAGTAAATACGTATGGTATAGACAATAGTTTAAACCAAAAATTAATAACAATTTTAGTGTATAATAGGAATGTATAGTTAACTCGAGAATAAGAACTCATTGGTAACAAATTGTTTTCTTGAGAATTCAATAGATAACAGTCAATTTGTTACATAATCGTCTTTACGAACTATAACATGTCAATACCAAGTTTCAGATATTAAATAATGTATATGTTGAAAGACACTTCCGATTATATTATATTTGCTTAACATATATATCCACAAATATATATATCTATATTTAATAAAGGGCAGGTTTACGTTGGACTCTCCAGAGTTAAAACCTTAGATGGAGTACGTCTTAACAATTTAGATCCAAGTCACGAGAGCTCTATTGTAGAGTACAACCATCTGTGGACGTTATACCGCCCCGATTTGCCCAAAAATTCCTGATACTGAATTGGCATTGCACTTGAACATTTAAAAGTTACAATAAAATATAGAAAATAACACAAAAAAAAATAGACAATTATACCCCGTAAATATACGAAAATACAGTAATTTATCAAAAATAATTTGGTATTAATTTAGTTATAAATAAGTACCTCGTATAATTTATGTACAAAAAGTAATGATATCCCATCAAAAACATAAATGTGAAATGATAGCCGAGTTTAATATTATGATATATGCCTTGATTGTTGACTTCTACGACAAAAGAGATGAGATCTAAATGGGTGCCAAGTTCAATGGTCTGTCCTGAAATGTATTTATAACAATATAAAATATCATTTCTTCTTATAACTTAGGATAATATACTGTAGATAATATACTGTAGCCTTCGTAAGTTCTAAACATGTTACTTGTCGGTTCCTATTTTAATATTAATAGTAACTAGCAATCGAAAGTAATAATTGGTATATGAGAACTGGCCAAGTTAGACCTTAGGCTACAGTATATTATCCTAAGTTATAAGAAGAAATGATATTTTATATTGTTATAAATACATTTCAGGACAGACCATTGAACTTGGCACCCATTTAGATCTCATCTCTTTTGTCGTAGAAGTCAACAATCAAGGCATATATCATAATATTAAACTCGGCTATCATTTCACATTTATGTTTTTGATGGGATAATAACTTAGAATAATAAGTTTTTTAAGTAATACAATTTCATTAGAATCTTATAATATTTATTTCTATTTTACCATACCATATACATACCATATTTTACCATACTACTACGATTTTCTTATATTTTCATCTTATTTTAATGACAAGGAGAAAGCAAAGACAATTTTTATACATATACCTTATTAATTCCTGAAAATCTCTTAGTAATGGGGGAATTACGATTTAATTTGTTTATTATATTTTTTTGACAGTATATATACCTAAACCCTGAACAGGCCGTAATTTTCGTATTAATGGCAAAAAGCCAATAATACATACATATATATATATATATATATATATATATATAGATTTGAAGTTAGGGACATATTTCTATAATAAAATATTTTGCCAAAAGTTATTGACACGAAATACATATACCAATGTACATTAAAAAGAACATTAATATTTAAAATTTACCTAGAGTAAGGAGCTATTGAGGATGAAGGCGGTGTAGGCACTGCAGCTGTGTCAGGATGAAGAAAGTTTCTTCTCTGCTCAGCGCGTTCCCAACACTGCTGTAGACACCGGGCCACTACATCTGGTAACGTATTTACTTGTTCCTAAAAAAAAAAATTAGTAATTAAAGCAAATTGCGCCACAAGACTTCACACGGAGGTACTTAATGTAAGGATCGCTCTCTTTTTGAATAAAACATACACGTTAACAACGACCCTCTTTTAAGCTAATATAATAAAAAATAGAATAGTATAGAAAATCATTTATTCAAATAAACTTAATTTAAGCACTTTTGAGTAGTGCTGTTGAATAATTTGAATTCACAAAATTTTTTCTTTCATCTACCGCACGTTCGGAAAAATGTCTCATCACAAGAAGAACGAGCAAGAAACTTGTATGTTGCTCTTTTAAATAATCCTTGTAAGTTTACATTTACAAGTCGAAACGTTTGAATACAAACTACCAACCAGCATTATTTTTTTTGGGTCAAATATAAATATATACAGGCTGGCTCATCCGTCATACTCGTGAACGAGTGCTCGTTCACGAGTATGACGGATGAGCCAGCCATCACTGCGCTCGACTATATTTTAGGGAATTCAATGACCCGGCCCACGATGCCGCCACATTTTAGTGAGCATGACTACTCATTCCACTCGACCACGTCACAGCTACTTAAAATTACTATATGATATATACAGTATTCGCATTTTACATGAGGATGCATGCGGCAATCAATACAAAAGCCGCTACGCTATCATATATCAAGAAAGCGGTATGAAAACTAAATTATAACGTTGTCCGCAAATAAACTTATTCTTCCTAGATATTGCTATCATCTATAAATTCATGTATCCTATAATAGGCTTTTTTACATAACAATTGTTTAATATAAAATTTGAATTGCCTCTCTGTCAGATTTAGTGTAGATTCTAGCAGTTTATTATAGAATCTTAGGCAGTTACCATAGAATGAATTACTAACTTTGTGTAGAGGGCATTTAGGTAAAATTAGCTTATTTTTATTGCGTAAGTTTCTACTACAGTCTTTAAGTTTCTTGAAACTATCTAAGTTTTTCCTTGTATACGTAATATTTTCATAAATGTACTGTATGAGGCAAAAACAGTCTATTTACTCTATATAATATTAATACTATACTGTTGTCTGAATTAATAAGTTCAGATAAACTAAATTACAAGTAAACCGTAGTTTCATATACAATAATTAATGTTATTTAAACTTCTGCATTGACATATATTTTATTAAAATTAAGATTTATGATAACATGATTTTAGACAAATTATTTTATACAAATTTATTAGTCTTAGATTAAATAATAGAATGTGTTTAATCATATTTTTAATAATATTCAAGTACTGTATTAATTGTATAACAGCTGTTTTCCGTGACTTCGTGATACAATCTCTTATCATGTACAAATATTTAAGATCTATTTGTTTGCAATAAGATATCAGACCGACATACTTTCACCTTTGAAATATCATTACGCATATTATATTTATTTTGTTAAATTTGTATATCTTTATTTTGTCTATAATGCAAATAAAGCATTTCATTCTCGCTCTTACTTGTAAAGATGAAAGTTTTTCTTCTAAACTAGTCAACCTCTCCTCTATGGTGTCCTGCCTCGTACTCATGTCTGACACGATCTCGTACACCGTGTTCTGGGTCTGGAATAAAATGGGGTTCTGATATCAATCGCTTTGTTGTTCATTGTTGACTGTTGATTCTAATTTAATATTATTGAATATTTTGTATATGTATGTTCTTATTTAAATCTCTGGCTATTTCGAGTAGGTTGTATATATATAGTATGTATACTGTGTATTTAATGTATTATGTACTGTTATAGTATTTTGAAAATGTAAATATTGTTGAATATTTAATTTGGATACTTTTATAAGTTCAATCTAAATAGATATTGTCATCAGCACACTATATCACACGTATAAATTTGGATTACTATTATGAAATTTTTATCTGGACATGCGCTAAGCATATGGTTATGAAATTTTGAAAAGAATGCAATAAAACATTATGTAATATATTATAAATAAAGTAGTACTTATAAATATATAGGGTAGATACTAAATCTAATTCTATAATAGCATGCTGAAATACATATGAAGATAAGTCTTCACTATCTCTAATTGTATAATCTATTCTAAGAATCATTGAGCTATTTCTCATTACATTCTTTACTTCTAATATAAAACAAAAATATTTAATTACTTAACAGTAAATATGCCATATACTAATTTGTTAATACTATAGGTTGAATTCCTAGCATGACGTGCATTCTAAGAATCTAGATGGATGTGTAGATATTAGTGTAGCATTAGCATTAAATATTATTATTTACAAAAACCAGCATACCTTTGCCATATCTGTAATAGTATTAGCATTATCCATTAATTTTCTTTGATCCATTTTTACCTTCCGTAATCTGAAACCACAATAAGAGCTCATAGAATAAAATAATTAAGTATTGAAAGCTATATTGTTTTGACTTGAAATGGAAAATTGTAGTAATAATTTTAATTTCCATAACTATGACTTGTATATACATTATAACGCGTTAGGTGTTTATGGAAAGCACTTATACTCATACTTTATTACAATTAGATCTATTAGAATATAATATTACTTACGCATAAATGGCTAATAAGAATTTTCTTTGATGTGTCCTAACACGTCCGGGATGAACCCTTTTCACTAATCTTGTATGTTTATATATTAACCACGTTTCTCGCAGTACATTAGCCGCAGCATTTTTCAGCTGAAATTATTTTATAGTTATTTTATTTATGAAAACATTTACGATTACCTATATTAATAAGCTAGTAATAAGATCTAACAAGTATAAATATAAGGTGTGAAATAGGTACTATACATACTTATTATAAATACTAAAATATGTTAAAACTTACGTTTATTACAAATTATTATTTTATTGAATATAATAAATACATTTCTAATTATTGTTTTTTATCATTAGCTGTTATCTAAATAAAATAGTTAAGACGGCCACAGTAGAATTGCGAACAACATTAGTACCACGTAGTGAATAGCGTTACAAAACATAAAAGCAAATTAATTATTTTATCAGTTTAATTTTTTTTTGCGTTATATTTTTCTGGCGATTATATCTTACCTTTACCACGACCTGTTACTCCTGTAACAGATACCTTACCTTTTTTGTGAGTTGTGTTTCCATCATGAAGTTATGGACATGTTTCTCCGCTCTAGTCAACTCTAATTTTCTCGAAGCAACGGTCACTAATAAGGCTGTACATCCCGCCCCCTGTTAATTAGATTAACAATAATTGTGATGAACCAATGTCGCTGTAATACTTACTCTTTTAGTAAGTTGTGTATCCATCATGAAGTTATGAACGTGCTTCTCGGCTCTAGTTAATTCTAATTTTCTTGAAACAACCGCGACTAATAACGCTGTGCATCCAGCTCCCTGTTAAGTGAATATCTTAATGTAAAATGCAAGCGAACGTGTAGAAGCATTCAAGAATATTCATTCCAATTGAAAGGCATTATCGAAGGCTAAAAATGAAAAGAAACTATTTTATCAGCTATGTGCTTTTTTATATTAGTTAATTATATTTATTAAATTTAAGACAATAGAAGGCAACAGAAACTATAATAGAATAACAAAATATATTTAAAAAGCAAATTCATAATTGGTATTTTTAAAATAAATAATTATCGTTTCCGTTGCCCTCAATATTAAATTTTAAAAGTAATAGAGAATATTCTTATAAAATTTTATTTAACTTCATTTTAATTATTTTGTTATTATTTATTACTTTGTGTCAAAAATGCAAACTTCTATTTTATATAACAAGAACAAATATGGAGATCTCAGCTATTTAAATTACAATTTGCATAATGTAAACAACATTGCACATTTTTATACATACTAATGTAATAATTATTATTTAATTTTCTTAAATAACTTATGATACTTCCATTTTGTGCATTTTCATATCTAATTTGTGCAAAACTTTTTCCAAACGTTTACTTCCGTTTAACATTAAGAACATCAATAACTTTATTTACTTATATCTTCCAACATTTAACACAAACACTATATTATGTGCATAAATTTATTGTACACTTTTGTATTAAAATAAACATAGGAAAAGTGAGCCATTTTAAATAAAACAAACTTATTGTGCAATTCAGTGAAATATTCAAGTGGAGAAAGAACTAGAAATAGTAAGGAGAAATGAAGCATTCCATACTACAAAATATATAATTTCTAATAGCTGGTTTTAACAGGGAAATGGACGTAACTTTACATAAAAAATCGTCGTCGAAGACCGAACTATAATCGATAGAATCCAAAAAAATTTACTGGCTGCAATTACTACACGAATAAATTATTACGGTAAAATAAATAGATATTAGATTATCCTACGTCGAAGATTTAATGTGTACATCGAGTGGTAGTTACAAAGTTGTGGAACTGTTAGAAACATGTGTACATATAAAACACTTATTGCATTTGTAAATATTTAAACATTGATAAATTTTCTTTGAATAGAATATTTTATAAACATTCATGAATACATACTAATAACTTATGACATTGAATACACCAATACTGAGTGATTAGCGCAAGGTAATTAGAAATGTGTAAAGCATCGTGTGTTGTGTGATCTGTCTGTTACATTGAAATAAGTGTTGACTGACTTTTTATCGGCTTTATGTCGATGTGACTTAAATGCAAAATCATTCCACCACAAAAGTATTGGTATGTTTTTGCTTCAAAATATTTCCGTATATAAAAAAATGTGCTGAACACGTGTCAGTCAACACAAACATAAAGTTTTTTGTAAGAAACTTACCATTATGCCGGTGCTAACAGCAATACCTCTGCCACAATATGTGTTTGGCACAATGTCACCAAAACCGACGGAGAGAAACGTAATTGCAATAAGCCACATTGCATTCAGTAGGTTAGCGTGTTCTTCATCGTGAAACCTGAATTCGTAATAAATTTCAACTATTTACTTAATGGACCTGTCTACCTTTCCGACCAGGAGAATCCTACGAAAAATTTATGTGCCTTCACAAATCCTATCTATATACTAACTATATTGTATCTGTATGCGTACGTATTTGTCGATAAAAATAAGGATATTAAAATAAAATATAAAATAAAATATATGGAAATACTAAAAAAAAAGTCGAGGATGTGTCCAATGTTGAAGAGTTTGACTTTGATTTAAATGAAGTTGTGAAATTGCTTCAAAAGACGTGAAATTACGACACATAAAATGGCTCACCTTTACCGACCTATTGCAGTGTCCTCTAGACAACGCAAGTCTAAGAGTATTAGGAACGCGAAGACGAGACGAAGTCTTGCTATGCCTAAGGGGACGACCGGCACTATAAAAAGGAATGTACGAACTTTAAACCTTAAAACCACCCAAAATATCCTACTATGTTTCATACATACCACCATACCGCAGGTGAGGGTAATGCCACGGCCGCAGTAAGTGTTGGGGACTATATCGCCGTAGCCAACACAGAGGAAGGTTATAGCTGTCAGCCACATTGAGTTTAGCAAATTGGCATGGTCTTCATCGTGGAACCTGAGAGCCAAAATGCCCGACAAGAACCACAAGATAACCGACTGTTCTACCACAATTAACATAATTGTATATAATATAATTAGTCTTCAGTTTGAATATAGAATACAGTGTATATTTAAAGTAGATTTGCGGCAATGTTTTGTAAATATGAAAAATCTCGTTATTCAATCATTTTACACCAATTTATGACTATCTACTAAATAATTTATAAAAACCTAAACATATAATTTGTAATCTCAAATATCTTGGCATGCCTATTGAATAACCACAAACATTTCTTCTACACAGATAAATGCCGTATAATAATAAAATATTTTTAAATACAACGTGCATTCTAAACACTTATCAGGGTCGAATATTAAACAATTATTATACTTTTAGCCATGCGTGATTTTATATTTGACTTTACCTTAAGTGAACAGGTTTATGATAACACAGATAATAAACATTTAAAATATAGACACGTAGAAATACAGAAGAAAGAAACACATAAAAGTGAGAAAGATAGTAGAGACATTTGCTTATCGGGAAGAGGTAACTTGTTTTGATGCATAAAATATATATATATAGAAATGTGCATTATGTGGTGCATAAATCGTATATCGACGCCGAGTTCTAAGCTATTGTAAGTGACAATTTTGAGCCATTTTGTGCGCATTTTTTTACGTGTAACATTAACTTTATATTTATGCTGAGCTTGCAATAATTCTAGATGCAATATCACATAATCTTTATACTGTGCTGAAATAGTTCTTTCTATTTGTATTTTACAAATATTTTTTTTGTATTTACAGCTAATTGCTGCCAAATCATGTGCATTTTTAAAAATAACAAAATCAGTATCACAACAAGCGTCCTCTTTGTAGACATCACATCAATTCAATAATCTACGTATAACATAAACTATACAATATAAGTTATACAGTGTCCATTGTATTTTCAAAAGCTACGGTTGCGAAAATATTCAAAGTCAAACTCTTATATTTCTTTGTGATGGATAGACCTAGCGTCACTACGTAATATCTTCATTGAATATAATTAAAAAATAAAAATAATACAAAACATAGTGAATATAAAGAAGCAAAACAAACATAATTACAATGCCACAGTACAATAAAGCGATAGCATGCCCACTTAGGCAGTACACTGGTGAGGTTTTTGAAACACGGTCAGTAATTTGAAGCGTAAATTATAGTGATGGACAAACTGAATAATGGAAGCAACACTGGTGGGAGTAGACATATAATGTGATAGAGTTTATTATGAACTTATCAAATGAGAAAGAAAACTTGCCAAAGTTAGAATGGTCCATTTGATTTTGATAGGATGAACATCTGCTTGCTATCAGTACTAAATTTATTACGCAAAGTAATTCTGATCTCTGTTTGAAACATTTTTAATGACAATACTAACCTTTCACACTGTCTTAACGTCCAGCTAGCGATTATCCATAAAGACACCATAAAAACAAGTAACACGGTGCCAGGGCAAATCGTCATGAGCGTTTTTAAGACAAATCTGTAATTAGATTTATTTGAATATTATTCTGTTGGTACCTGTATTAAATATTATAAATTTAAAACATATTAAGAACATTTTCACGAAATAGAATAGTAGTATTTTTTTAAACCTTAAATAAATAGAAAATATATACATTATACACATTAAAAATAAATAAAAATGAATGACATAATTTTAATTAAATTATTTGATATCTTTCGGTCGTTGTTGTGTTTATAGGATTCACATTCTCTGTTTCATTACTAATTTTAATAGGGTTTTCAAATATATGATTTAATTATAGTACAGATCCTTAGTTTAACAATAATCAGGTGAATATTTGCTGTTCTTTTGTACTATAAATATTTATTGATGTAAAGATTTGTAAATAATTATAATGAATATAATTCTCCATCAAAGAGTGAAAGCGAATAACAGACCATTGACAAATAATTTGATATACCTACATAATATTCCATTACAATATATCAACATTACCTAGTATTAAAATTAATTCTGTTTAAAGCTCCTATACTTCTGGAAGAAGCATCTGTAAATAGTTTACTGTGGAGTAGCATAACCCTGCATATAAGATAAAGTCGAAAGAACATCGGCAGAGAGAGCGTAACGTCGTACGGAACCTGAAATTAGAAAGAAAAAATGTGTTAGAAATTTTTTAATAAAGAATTTAAAGGATTATAAAAAAATACAAAGAGTGCAGTCAAAACACCATAGGGCACACAAAATAATAATATCTAACATTGATATTACAAATTTTGCCGTCATCTATTTAAGTGATGCCAGTAATTATTTTGTGTTTTACTTATATACTTTTTACCTATAATAAAATAACTAATTAAATACCGAAAAATTTACTAAATGTAATCGCGGATTATAATACGACTATCTACGATGGATATAAAAATAATATATTCAAACCCAAATTTCCAGATGAAAGTAATGTTTAAAAATTTAGTTTTTGTTAACTTATGGTTCATTTATTTTTATTTCATAGAACCTAGTGATCGTAGATTTAGTAGCGTAATATACCCTTATATGGATTATGGAGAGATATTCCTATGATGAACATAAGACAAATAGATTTATTATACAATGAAAATTAAAGTAAATAAAACAAAATTAATAACAATAGTACAAATAGGTACAAATAAAATAAATCTATCCGTTCAAAATAAACATTTTAAAATCAAGATAATATTATATTAATTTTTTTTTCAATATAATAATAGAATAATTTAACATTTTCAAATCAAATGAATACATATAATATTATTATGACGTAGCATTAATCACAGATAACAGACACATGTTAACTAATACACTTAATTGGACATACACAGCTTTGAATTGAATTTCAAAATAAATAACACACGTGTGCTTGCACTAATCTTATTTCCAGGGATGGCGTAATACGTGCTCTGCATTAACGATTACTTCATTTCAGTTTAGAGTTACATGAAATGTAGTTTTCTTTAGTCGATTGAATCAAGAATAATACAATTTATCTTTACTGGCGCGTTTTATTTGGAAAATGGAAATATAGCGGCTCAATTTATATGTATTTGTTTATATGATGGATGAATAACAACGTAACCATGTCCACAAGAACTAGTTGAAAATTATCGTAAATTTAGTTAGTACTATCTTGGAATTATACATAAATTATTAGAGATATCTGACATGATATGAAAAAATGTCACCCACATAAAATATACGTGTACAACATAAATTCAAGGCACATAAAATTTTGACACAGTTCCAATCGCATGCTCAAGACAAGGACTCTAACATCACTTAAAACTTTTAACACTTGAATTTATTTAATACAGACCTGAATTTGCTTATACATTGTGCCCTAAGGAGAAAATACTAAATTAAGTATCGGTTTTAAATGTAAGAAAAGATATAAATGCCATTTTAAATAAGAAGATGCAAATGATAACAAGATAGCGAGATTCGTGCAAATGCTAGAATAAAATTTATTGACAATAAAAGTGTTCATAATATTTTATGCTAAATCGAAAAAAATTAATTTTAAATGAATTAACATAAAAGACTGTATAACTTTATGAAAAGTTATAAGCAGTAATAAACAGTTGAAACTAGAGTAAGCAAATCAGTAGTTTCAGCTGTATTATACACATCTTCTTGTGATTTCAAGACAAGATCATTTCAATGTATTTTTCTTTACTTATTCATATCCATAGATATTATTAGAACCGCATAAATTTGTTAGTATTCTTGTCTTATAATAATTTATAAAGGTAATTTTTATAAATTCGCTATCTTATCTCAATCGTTTGTGTACTTTTTGTACAAATAATATTTAAATAGTTCACTATAATTCTAACATACATATAATTTAAAAATCATATAAGTATAAAGTATTACTAATATTTTAATACACTTAAACAAGCATTTTAATAAATATGAGACTATGCAATTAAACAAACTATGATAACTTTCGTTTTGTTGGTCTTGAAACTACTAAAGTATATGGAATGCCACTTACAACTTCTACCCCTATAACACCACCCTTGTTGGCTAATTTTGTGGTCCAAGTGAAGGTGTACTGCCCGGGGATAGGATGGACCGCACAGATGGCAAGTTCTAGTGCAATTTGAGCTATCCGCTGCCACGTCATTGCTATCCTCCAGTCATCCGCGCAGTTGTCTATCATAAATAACTGAAATGAAAATATATTTTATATTTAAATTTAATACGTTACGAAATAAATAATAAAAGCAACCTCTTTAGTTTTGGTACTTATTTAGACTTCTAACTAATAAAGATAATAAGGCTTATTGTAATTAGACAAATGTATTTATAAATATTTCAGTAATTGTTCTCTTTTCTGTATAATGCAAATAAAAGTATAGGCTATCTATTCTATCTACATATAATTTTTTTGTAGAGGCTTGTAGTATAGAATTATCAGGAAGTGATCGTATACTACAATTTGTCTATAGTATTAAAATTAAAGACCTCTAAGATTAATAGTCGAGGACGGTAAGTTTTCACAGTGAGTATTGCGGGTTTACCTCATTAAATGAGCCTCACTAAATTACAGAAAATTTCAATGTCCGCTTTACATATACATTTTATTTTTGCCATTGTATTTAACGTAGCTATTATATTTGACAAAGTAAAATAAAGTACAGGAGAAGTAAAGCTCCCAATAAAATTCTATACTACATCGATGAGGACATGTTAATGCTTATTAACACAGTTTCTCTTATTACAATGAGATTACATAGAGAGTATTCTATATGCACAGATCTACGGGTATTTCGATTCATTGATCCCCATGCAGTAGTACTTTTAGGGGTTATTTGATTTGATTGGTAAAATTATTCATAGTCCTGCATAAACGAAAAATTGTTATGTACCATCAGAATATCTGCTGCTACAAATTGTAATACAAACACTGTCAAGTGAAGCTTTAATATAATACGAATTTATTTTTGCACACTTACATAGTTTTCTATATATTTATTTTCAGGACAAATAACCAGTACCGTTGTAGAGATCATAAAAAGTCATCCGCACGGGTACCTACTTCATCTACCACAGTTTGATTTGTAAACTGTATAACCGTTGAAGGATGAGGTGAGGTGATAAAGTAGTAAATTTACAAGATAAGATATCTTAGTCTCCGGAAAGGCAATGCATAAGAAGTATCACGTATCCATATGTAGATACATAGCTACATTATTATTTATAGACACCGGTTACCACTTACCGTCAGGTGGACCACCTGCTTGTTTGCCATGTCTATAATAAAAGCATTCTATCTATTTTACAAAAATTCTGAGATATTATTTCAAGGTTACATTTGATAAATGTAAAATGTAATATTTATTCAATAAATATATATAATAACTATTATGGATAATTAATTAAAATGAATATTACCTGTACTTCTAAAGCATGATAAGCGACGATTAGGCCAAGTAAAATCACAGTCGACATTGATATAAGCGTCTTTAACGCCTGCGAATATATAGATGCCTAGAACACAAAAATCAAATATAATGTTACAAGTATTTAGTTATTTATATAACTTTAATAATTACAATACATGATTAAGTGTACATTTGGTAGACTTAACACTTTGCGGTGTTTTCCATCAGAAAATTGGCAGTGGAATTCATATTTATTAATATTAAATAAGAATTGTGTTATTTGAATATAAATAAATATATTATTAGAATTATTACACCCGATGAATTAATCTAGTAAATAAGCAGTGCTTCTATTGTGGAAATATTTGTTTTTTTGTAAATACTTATGTAATGAAGCAAAACATAAAACACCCAGATCAATGCAAACAACACATGAATACAAAATATTTGTATTGTGCGAGAATCGACCTTGCGACCATTGCAAATTAGGGGTGTGCGGTTAATCGCTGCACCATCGTGCCCATAAATATTTTCTATGCACATCAGTCCATATACCTTAATGCTATTTACTTAATATGCTTTATTTTACCTTGGTGTATACACCAGCACTTGAAAGTTCGTTTTCTATAACCATTATTATTATACCAAACATTCCCATTACTAAAGCGTAGTCACTTATTCGTTTTCTTTTTTCAAATAACGCCTTTCTTCTACCTAATCTGTAAAGAAATTAAAGTAATATATGAGTTTTTCAAAAATCTACCACTTCACAACATATTAATATTTAAATTGAAATATTTATCCCCCATGGTTTTAGACACCACAAAATTTCTTAATCGTTATTATCCACAGATAAGACACATTATAGATTTTACTGCTAGTTACAGTACATTTTGGCGATTAAGCTTGAATACTAATGTTTTCCAATCAATTAATTAAGATATACATTTCTTATAAAGAAATTATATATTCAGATACATACACTAATAAGCATTATTGATTACTTCCAGATTGAATGTTGGTTGAAAATATAAAGAGTATAATTGTTTGGATTTAGGCATTAATGTCAGGAACAGCTGCTTCGAATTGAAGTATTATTGTATAATAGTTTTGGATTACCCATTTATTGAGGCTATATAAGTATTTATAATATTATGTTCCTACTAATAGGAGTGGAACATTAATAAAAAAAGTAGACAAAATTACGCAGATTAATTTACAAATAGATCCTATAATTTTTTATTATAATTAGATAAATGAAATGTCTTATTTGAAATAAATAGAACAAATTTTGTCTACTTTTTTTTATTGATTTTGTTCCTATTTTGAAATAAACACGAATTAATTTACTAGACTTTTATATAATTATATAATAAGTACCTATAATATGAAGATGTAGTCTAACATCTTTACTAAATATATACTTATTATAATTAGTCGTCATATGTCGCAACCTTACACAACAATGTAATGTAAAAAGTAGATATATTTATTTATTTAAACAAAACAAACAAACAAAGAAAATGATCGTAACTATAAATCAGAGAAGTAATAGAGATATCTTGACAATAAAGTAAAATGCATTTATGATGGTTGTATCAGTCTAAAAACGAACAAAATCGATGCGACCCTGTTGCAAGTTATTTACGTTCGTTCAAGGCTGTGTTAAAACGTTTAGTCATTATTAAAAGGTCTCAAAGTCAAACATAGATGAAATTTTTAAGACTGTGAACGTAATTGAATGAAAAATATTACCAATTTATGAACTATCACATCGTAATAATAACAAAATTAAACTATTAGTTCATAAAGGTAAGGTTAAAAATAAATAAAATAAAGAGGTGAAGTTTGGGAATTTACTAATCTGATTTTTTAAAATGATTTCATGTTGAATATTTTTCCGTTTAAAACAATATAACATGATGCTAAAACTAAGAGATATTGATCTGCAATGTAATGGAATGTTAGGATATTAGTACTTATACAATATATAGTTAATTCTGATAAACTGTAAAAAGTAATTGACAAAAATAAATAAAACAGTTAATGTAACAACTACAGTGTAGTTATTGCTTCTAAACGATATAATGCATGAAAAATATTAAAAACTGGCTGTGTCGACGGTTTCACTAGCATGAAATTTATAGCCTATATGTTATTCTGATATACAAGCTATATTACTGTAAATGTAAATATATAAGCTATATTAATGTATATACTATATAACTGTATTGTTTTATCAAAATTCAAAATCTGTTCAGTAGTTTTTGCGTGATAGAGCAACAAACTTCCATTCATACTCACAAACTTCCGCGTTTATAATATTACAATTAGATGAGATTATATTTGTACATAATCTCGAAAAATAATCAACATTTTTTTTTATATTTTGCCTATAGGGACATTATCACAGTACTATGAACTATATATGGTGTACTATCTGTACCCGCGACTTCGTCCGCGTAGTATTTTATTTTCTTTATTTATCAAAAATAAAATTGTATTTAGATTTAGACAGACATTAGCCGGAACAAACAGACAGATAAAAATTGTAAAAAATGTTATTTTGGTCTATGTATCGTATTTATATATGTATGTAATAAACAACGGTTATTTCAATATTACAAACAGACGCTCCAATTTTATTTATATGTATACATTATCATTTGAAACAATAAATTTACAATTGCTTACTATCCTATCTTCAGTCTATCTATTCTATCTCAAGTTTTTTTTTATGAAATATGCACTTTAAAATTCACATAAATTTATACAAACGATGTGATTTTTGTGGTTAGTATTACGTACGTTAAAAATTAGATTTTATCAAATATATAAAAATTCAAATACTAAAATCATTTATTCGTGTAGGATATTTTAGCCGTTCATGAATGTATTTGTTTATATTATAATTTTTTAACTATCGTCAATAGGCATTACAATATAAATTACTAAACTTTTCAAAGAACACAGAAACAAATGCTATTCAACCTATCCAACATTCAGATATCGGTTGTCACCTAATTAGACAATTTTAATATTAAATTATTAAGTGGTTGATAAGAAGAATTTATATTTGTAATAACTACCTATTGATTTACCGAATATGAGTTACATTACATATGCCCACACAGCTATTAAACTGACAACTTATGTGAACGAGAACTTACCTACTTGAGTATTGTATTTACCTACCTAATTGGTGTAATTACATCTTATTTTGTACTTATGTTCCTATTACCATTTATATTCTACTCCGATTAAAGAATTATTTTAGTGTAACTTTTTTTTTCATTTTTGTGCAATGAAAACTACGAACGTGAATGCTCGTAGTAATTTACTCTGCTTGAAACATTATGATTGATTTATTTTGTCACACAAATATATATTATATATTTCACTTTTCTTGTACTACGTACTAGGTATTTTACACACTAAAATAAAATAAAAATAAAATTTTAAAAATACAAAGTTGAATAACAACATTTGTTTAAAAGAGCAACAGGCAAGTTTCTTGCGCATTCTTCATGAATGAATCTGCATTTAAAACAAGCGGTACGAATACTTTTCACAAGAGGTTTTATTAAATTTCTATGAATAAAGAGGTTTCTATTTTGTAAGTTTTGTATCATTACCATTTTACGTTAAGTCATATTTACATTTATATATTTGTGGTTACATATTTTCATAAATAGATTCAATATTATAAGTACCAATAAAAATGGCCGTCACTACTGCAAACTAACGATTTCCTATTTATAGCTCACATACTGCTCGTAAATTTTGCTTTACTATTCAATAGTTTTGAATAATATTAAAAGATACCCTCCTACTAAATTCAATAATAATTAAATACTATTATTGTATTACATGTTGTAAATATTGTAAAATAAATTAATGTTAATAATTAATTTTCATTTGGATAAATTAACCTATTTATGTTGAATGTAAATAAACTTTAATTATAATAGTTTCTGTAAGTAGAGATAATTACTGTTAAAAAAATATATATATATTAAATAATAAGAAATTATTAGCCCCTTATAAACATTACAGACTTATGTCAGAATATGGTCTTTATTAGGTATCAATATCTTTATACATATTTTATTTAGTGATATTACGTACGTATATTATAAATGACCTGTTTATTATTTATGCCATTTACAGTTATTTATAATAATTAGGTTACTGAACATATTCAAATGTTTTAAGCAGTTTTTGGAAGAAAATATAGATATAAGAACACTGTTGATGTGATGTATCTAATCGATAATTAAGGTCTAAACCGTAAAAGATGTATGTATAGTTTAAGTTTGTTATTTATTAGTATTACCTTTATTATATTATTAAGTATTCACTGATATGTTAACAAAGCCGAACAATTTGGAATCTAACTCACACAACAGTAACTCCAAAAAAATGGATAGACATTAATTTCTTTATAAGACGGTTATAAAAGTAATTGAACTACAAAATTGTGTTCTATCTACACTAAACATACATATACTTATCATTTATGAGACGACTTGTCAATAAGTATGGTTTCATTTTTTATTTACAATTAGAATCATATTATAAATGACATTAACAGTTTTTGATTCACAAATTTGTGATGGACCCTTTTGGAAACCTAATTGTTCAAACAAAAGCTTACACTACAAACTTATACTGTATAATATTATTGATGTCTAGACTACTCCGAAAATATATTTAATATCTTACAATGCTTAGAGAAGCATTGTAATAGGAAAATTGTATTGGATGAGTCTGCATTTATGAATTCTGATCTCGAAGGAATAAACTCATCGACTTTTGGCAAAGGATTGGTCTCAGCTTTATTACACAGTATATTGGTTTTATATAACCCACGAGACTTAATGAAAGTGGCGGTTGAGCTATCAATAAAACAATTAACTTGATCGCAATGAACGATGCGATGAACTCATTTGTTATAACAAAAAATATATATAACATTATGAAACACTTTGGATGTAGGCATTTATGTAAATAAAAAACGTATTAATAATATATATAAAAGGAAAAAAAATAAGTGTAAATAAATAATAAAAAAAATGTATTTATAGTAATGCAAATGACGTATATCTTTACGGTATTTTCAAAGAAATAATTTTAATTATAGCTAGTTACTTATATAATTATAGATCTGTATTCCACAACTATATGATTTATATAGTAGGAAACAATTAGAACAAAACATTTCAAATATTACAGCATAAACTTTGCAATCGAGAAAAATGGTCTTCAGAAAGATACTCTTGAAGGTTTTGTGTAATTTAGTCTCAATGATTATGTGTGTAAAAGTAAAAAAAACATCCATTCACACCCTCACTTTTGTAACATCAGTAGGTTGAATGTGAGAAACCATAATCAAACATACTATAACAAAAAACATACCGTAACTTTTCTCTATTCTCCAATAATATAATGAAGATATCTGATATAACTATTGATACAATACAGATGTAATAAAAATATCATTCAATGTTCTCGGCGAGAGAAAAACATTTTGCAATGAAATCAAAAGAAAATTCGCATCGAATCGGTATCCAATAACAAAAATACTTAAGACACGTGATATGTTTACGTAGTGTCTATATTTTCAACCTTCTTCAAAATTAAGAAGATTCTGAATTCAATTATATAATATTTTGACTAACGACTAGCTCATGCTTCGCACGGAATAAGATATTTTCCTGCGGTAAAAGGAGCTATTCTTACTAACATACATAAAAAAATCTAAAATGTATTTGTTTTAGATTCTAAAAAAACTATCCTTTACTATAATTTAACTGCCTACTCATATTTTTATAGTAAAGACCAGAATTGTCATATTTTTCTTGGATTTTCCGGACTTAGAAAGATCAAAGGCATGTAATAATGAACACAGACTAGGATTTTGTTCCCGTCAAGTGATCGGCTAGTAACGTTACGCACGTTATCTCTGTTGTCTGTTACCTTGAAATTTCTAAATTTAATATTAGCTTATAAGATGTGTTTATTTTCTGTAGAGTTTATAGAGGAAGTTATGAACATTTACTTAGTAATGTAAAGAAACAAGTTATACTTTACAATGTAATATTTTCTACTTACTGCTAAAAGAAAGATACACTAATCGTTTAATTTTATTCTAATTGTAATTTTTAGGACATTATTGATATGGGATATGGCAATAAACTCTATTAAAAAATATTAAACAAAATATTTTTTAAATCAATAGAGTTTATTGCCATATTAGTCCCATATCAATATAGTCATGGTCAGTTTATATGATGGCTGGCTTATCCGTCATACTCGTGAATGAGTGCTGCTTGTAGGGATTGGTCTGTTGTAATCACTACGACTGATTTTCTCTTCTTTAGTTGCTCAATCAGTTGTTTGTATATTTAATATTTTCTCTATTTGAGTATTTAATTGAATTAGTGCCAATTGGTAGTTTGTATTCACACTGCAACTTAAAAATGTAAAGTGACAATAAAATTATTTAAAAGAGCTACACGCAAGATTCTTGCTGGTTCTTTTTGTAGAGACAGACTAGACAGCTCTAGACAGCTTTCCGAATGAGCAGTAAATTAAAAAATATGTGATGACTATTCAAAAGTGCTTCAACGTAAGTTTATTTGAATAAACGATTTTCTATTTATTCTATTCTATTCTTTTACTTTTCTATTTACCTTTGGCCATAGAGAAACCAATAATTGTAATGTAAATTATATCATTTATCTATCTACAAACATTCACGCAAGATACTTTAAACTTTAATTTTGGGTTCACAGAGAGTACCAAGTGTCAATGGCTTATCTACAGGTTAAATATTCATATTTTTAGAAAAAATACTTAACTTTTACATTTTTTGGCACAAACATCAACCAATAAAGCTGTAATCGGCTTACGGTTTAATGTTTAAACTGATTTGCTCTTCATATAAAATAGCCACGTTCCATTGTGATTGTTTGGAACCAGAAAATGATGCTTTTAGAGCGAAAAAGTCCGCTTTTATGTTAGGAACGTGGCATGAATTGTACAAACTTTAGTTATTGTAATATGTTTTACGAGGTTAACTTTAAACTCAGTTCTATTTAGTTACCATCTAGTGTGAGCTTTTGGAAACTTTATTTATTATTTTTTTATTTTTCTTCCAGTTGCCTGTTGCATATATAAAGAAGTTTAGTAGTATATTGACGGGGTAACAATACAATATATCATCACTTTCTTTCAATCCTAAGTATTCTTAATGTCAACAAGAGATCAATATTAAAAGGAACAACTCGATGGTGCAATAAAATAAAAATAAAGATAAATTAAACTCTATGTCAAAGCAGCCTGGCCGACATGATGATAATAACCTAAATTGTTATTGTAACTAATAATTGTAATGAATATTCGTGATAACAAACATGACGACCGTAATACTCACACAGTAAATATTCAAACTAAACAATTTATTATTATAGATATTACTACCATCACTGACTACTGTTCAGTAGATTTATTTATTTGAATTAACTTATAAAATAACACTACAATCAGTATTTCACATGGAGTAACTACTTTAAATCCTATGTTACGTTTCTTTGAATTTAAATAAAAATACCTAATACATTTTCAGAAATGCGACACCTGCACCTTTCCGGACAACGTTTTCCACATTACACGTCCTTGTGATAATCGTTAAAGTAAAATATTTACCTATATCCTATATTGGGTTTGTGCTTAGCTGCCCCTCCGCCTTTGTACGTGCCGCCGCCGAGCGCCCTCTCTTCCCCGAAGCGTGGATACTCGCTGTGCACGCCGACGAGCGCGACGCCCGCTTCTTCCGTAGCAGCGTCCCTCCCGCCCCCGGAGTACGCCTTCATCGCGCCGGGAATCGACAGTGTCGACACCGGCTTGCGCAGCTGGAATACATATAAATGTCACGTTAGTTTCCATTTTTACGACTTTGTGCTCGGGTCTGAATGGACTGCTGCCGTTGCAACACGTTGGCCTTTAAGATTTCCGAATGCTGAACTATACTGATCCTGTGTGCACACAGTGATATGTGCACAAATATGTTATATCATTAAATACATTATTAATAGTAACAATACATATATTTTTAATCTAGTCCTTAATAACATTTAGAGCGTACCCACAATATACACAATAATCATTTCATTAAAAAAAATATTAACCTTTCGTCAAAACTATTTTATTGTAATAATTTCTTATGTATAAACTTTGGAGCTCCTGCTTGAAAATTCGAATAAAAAAATTAATAACAAAAATACAAGGGTTTCCTACCTACCTACCTACATTACTTGATGTAACGGATCTTACGCTAATTTAACAATGAAAAAAAGTAAAAAATGTTTATTTCTTTAAAAAACAATTCGGTTACAATAACATACTGTGACCTAGTAAGAATAAAAATGCCTGTGTCAGTGTCATATTTATAATTACTTCTATAGTATAATATATAGGATATAATATACTATCCAGTTATAACTAGTGATATAGTACTCTGACTAGATAATAAATTATTATAGATTATTTATTGGACCACGGCTCATTCCAAAGTGATGTTGGCATATCTGATGCGAGGCGGAAATTAAATGCTGCATCTAGGTTTAGTTAAAGGATAATTGGTCCAGCCAAATTCGACTTGGTCCACAAAGTTGGAGAGCGAGAAGCACAACATCTGATTATGTAAATGGTTCATTAGTTTTTGAATGCAGATGCATCAAAATCGTGGTCAACGGTAGTTGATCTAATACGGATGTTAACGATGGCGTCTGTTGACTGGCAGTTTCAGACAGTGCGTTTTTTAGTCAGTCCTGCTGAGGTTTTCTTTAGATACGTTGGCGGCATGGCGTTTTTCAAGAAAAGTACATATATTCATGTTTGTTAAGGGTCTGCAGCGCGCACGTATTTCCCTGGTGTTGCAGGCGTCCATACGCTACGCTAACCGTTTACCATCAGTCATCATATAGATATCATGTTTGATTGCCGCCAATGAAAACTCGCTAGTGGTTCCATCACCAGCATTAGTTAAAAATTGGTTAAATCTGTTAAAAATGATAAACTCTGTTAAATTAATATTTAAAGTTAAATAATATTAATATGCGAAAGTTCTCTGTCTGGCGAAAACTGATGAACACACGTTAATGAAATTCAGCATGAAGTATGTAGATTGCATCAGATGGACGGATATTGGATATATAATTTATCTTAAAAAAAAAAACCGACGAAGTGTCAGACAGAAGAACAACAACTCTTTCATATTCTATTAAAGTCCAATGAGTGAATTGTGAGATAGTGATAATGCCTCTGATTTTATCATCTGGTGTTATTTCCATATTTAGTTTAAGTGATTTTATCATAAGTATGTGAAATAAATTGAATATACATTTGTTATGTAGATCCGCTTTGTAGAATGAAAATTGATCAATTAAACTCGACTGCTGAGCATAAATTAATTGTTCGGCAAAATGCCAGGAAATCCTTCGAAATTGTCTATGGCAGTACATATACATATATCAGTAATACTGCACTGTTATTATGCTGTCTGTTGAAATAGAGATGTTTCGTGATTTCCGTAATGCAGTGGTAAATATTCTGTTTTACTTTCAGGCTCCATTCTCTATTCTGGCTATATAAAAAAATAAGTTTACATTAATTAAGAAATTAAACAATACGTATCTTATCTGGAGGTCTAAGCAATGGTATTCTATAAATAAAGGCATTCTGATTTAGTTTTAATTGAGATTTGTTAGTAAACTACAAGTTGTTTCATGTAAAAATATTCTGCACATACATATTATGTAGATAATTGCAAGAACAATACTGATTTATTTATTACTCTACACTGACCATAATAAACTCGTCACAGATTTACAAAAGGAAGAGGGTTGACAAATTTGTCTGTCATAACCTCTACCCGCAAAACCGCCAGTTCATTTATCAATGCGCACGGCGCGGGACTTGCTACTACTTTGGATTAATATCCTATTCTTAGGAGTTAATACGTTAAATTTATTTATTTGTGTCGGCATATAAACTAAAAAAGACATATGGTTATTGTCTAATAAAATGGTACATATCCAACACTTATCTTAAAAATAATGTTGTTTTTCTCTCTATGATATTAATGTAGTAAATGTGGTAATAGTGCCTATTTTGTTCTGTTTTGTTATATCTTAGCGCCTTAACGACTTAAACAATTATCTCGAATCGTGATACACACGCACAATAGTAGACGCTCTCAGTATATTGGAATTGAGAACGATACTTGGTAAGTATACTGTTATCCCGTCCTGGACAACTAATAAAAATATGACTATCGTAATATTCTCCCTTGTTATAATTTTAATATAGTTTTACTTAATTCAAGTCAACTTACGATCAATATATTTGAAACCGCATGAGTAACCTAGACCACCACGTACTTTATATACATAAAAATAAGTAATGTTGTACTATAATATCATACAAAAAATGTACGAGTCATACATAACAAAAGACTGCGTAAACAGGGTTGGAAATAATTCCGGCTTTCGTCCTTGGGTCATTGACATAACTAATATTGTGGTAAACAAACGGATTAAGTAAGCATACTTTATAAGTTATTACTTATTATAAATAAGAAAAATGTACATTCATATGTAGATTTTCAGGTAATATATTTATTTTATTTCTTCATTATATATGCATAGTATGCTTCTCAATATATTTACGAAAATATCATGTATGACAATTTCAAAAAAGGTAGCAATTACAACGATAAAAGCTTACATACTAAAAACAAACTAGTTTTACCAAATTGGCATTTAACTAAAGTTAGTAATTCGTTCTATGGGAATTGCGTAAGGTTTTACAACAAACTGCCGACTGAGTCTGTAAAACACACTAAATCTGTAAGAAAAGGGATTCTAATGTTGTATAAAACACTTTCTTTGGAAAAAGCACATTACAAAATTGAAAATTTATAAAGGATAATAATATTTTCAATATTTCTTCAAAATCTTAAAATTTCTAGTGCTGACAATAAATAATATATAAATATTCTGAATTACAGTCAAGTCATATTTCCGGCACACACTCGTTATAAAAAAAAATACGAGAATAGCTGACATTTCGACGTTGAAATTAATGCAAATTGAAATCAGATAGGTGATCTGAATTTCAATGACAATGATTCACTTTTCCAATAACAATTATAAACAAAAGCCAATATTACAATCACACTTAAATTAAATGTAAGTGTTAAATAATTCTGAAGAGAGACGATAGTCTATATGGATATAGACTATAAGTTTTATTTTAAGAACTCATATTACTTTTTTATTTTTTTTCTATGCTACATTATTAAACTATTATTTACCATATACGTATTACGTATTATTGTACAATTATAGGCTAAAGCTATAACACAAAAAGTTACAATCCTATAGAAAACGTTTCGAAGAACATCTCTTGGGAAAATCTCGGCAGAAAACATGTACCACTTTAAGTCGCAATGAAGTTTGAGGTTGAAATCGTTTACTATGAAGTTATTGTTAATCTCTGTTAAAGCCACCCTCTATTCGGATGCTCCTAAAATCTATGATCATAGTCTTGAAACTAGCTGTCAGTGAGACTTAGTGTGTCAGTAAATTCAAATTTTAGTTTAAATCCTTAGTGACAGCAAAAAGTTTCAGCAAACTAAATTAATCTAAGAGACAGCTATAAGCTTGTCCCCTGATATGTTGGATTTAATTTGAATATTTCAACTAAAAGCCCAAAAATTAAGACGTACTTGTTACTTACAGTAATAATATGTGACATAATAGGTAACACTTATCTAACTACATAACCTGGAATGACAATAATAAACTTGAATTTAAAGATTGAATAATTTTAAATTATATATTACGTTATAAAAAAAAACACAAAATTACTATTAATACGAACTATCCCTCAAAAATTATTTGCTTCAGAATGTATGTAGAATACTAACCTATATACAAGCTAATAATTGTAAGAATTATAGTTTAGCCTTAAACCACAGGTATATAAAATAAATATACAAATTATTATGCGATATTCCAAATTGATCATCGCAATTGCTTAAGTTTTATATCATACTCGTAGACGTATAAAAATCAGCAAAATCAAGTGATCCGTCTGTAACGACCTCATTTCGATAAAGTATCGGCTCAGAAACTCGATACTGGAAGCCCATTCGCATTGTACTCCTTACATTGTTCTAAAAGAATCGCTCTTTTGTCCTTCGTGAAAAGAAAAATATTTTTGATACATTCATCTATCATACGGTGAATAGCGTTGCTTGTAGATTTTTTATAAAATATCATAAATAATAATGTAACATGTTGTTTTGTTCTACAAATATATAATTTTAAAATCAAATTAGCTAATTGTATTATAGTACACCTATTTCAAAATGGAAACCTATTGAAATAAATGACACAGCTTTTTAGATGATAATGTGGTTAAGATTATATAAAACAAATTAAAACATATTATTGGTGACGATAATATTCTACTATTTGTTTATATATGTTTAATTAGAATTAATTTTTATAACATTCCTATATTTTGAATCGACTTCATTTCGATTGTTAGTCATTTGTCACTTGCATATAGACATTTATAATCATCAATAATTTTTTTGTAAATACGAAAAATAGTAAGTGATTTTTTTTATATAGTTTATTTATAATCCATAGCAATAACCCACTTTCTCGATTAAGACAGGTTTCCCCAAAGGCGGAAAAAAAACTGACGAATCCTGAATAAGAGTTCGTAATGGTCAGTTAGGATTAGTGATATATGGTTCTTGAATTTACTTGTTATATAGGAATAAATATACAATTGAATAGTCGTGTTTCTCTAGAGAATAGATACTAAAAACGATTAA